CCTGTCACTCAAGACTACCCGTCCATACATCATACCTACATCACAGAAAAGGCGGTCTACAACAGAAATTTGAATGCTGTTGTTTTTCCTGTTTGCCAGCTTATCTGATAATGCCTTATTTGATTGCCTTTCCTGGTAGTCTGGCCATTCCTTTGAGATGGTGATTTCTCAATTCCTGAGACAATGGGAAGGCTCCCTCAACCCCTCCCTCCTTGCAGAGAAAACATTTGGTCAGTTTGGGAGTCAAAATGGTTTCAGGTCGGTCTTCCTGTGCTGATCTATGTATGTGCTTGGTTGGTACATTTATGAACATTTCTTATATATATAAGACCTTAAATTTTACTATTACAATAGTACTGCTTGACTGTCCCTTTATTGGTCTGTGATTGTGTTAAATCAATTTTGCTCTACTTCAGTGTTTCTGCCACCATGTGGAGCAGAGCAGCTTAGAAACAGCAACGCCAGTTGCCTCCCTGAAGAAAAAGACCCTCCTCCCCACCCCACCCCCAGTTCACATTGGGATTAGCTTTGGGGCACTGAGCAAAAGTCTCACTTGACCTTAATCTTATTTGGATTAAGAGAGAAGGGAGACGGTACCAAAAAAAATAATAATTGAAAAGGGTTGATCCAAAACCTGGATATTATTAGGAATGCTTTTTTTGTTTCAACGGAAAGGTAAACTAGAATTCAGTGTTTCCCAACCTTGGGCCTCCAGCTGTTTTGAACTACAATTCCCATCATCCCTGACCACTGGTCTTGCTAGCTAGGGATGATGGGAGTTGTAGTCCAAAAACAGCTGGAGGCCCAAGGTTGGGAAACACTGAACTAGATAGACTGGGTTTCTCATTGTGGTCAGAGTTTTAAAAAAGGGGGAAAGGGGTGTGTGGCGAAGATCAAGAGGCTGCTTTCGAAAGCAAGACAAATAATACAAGCGCTCTGGGGGCTCACTGGGAGGGGAGCAATTTCGCAGCGGGGGTCCCCGTTTAATGGGGGCCGGTGACACAGTGCCCCATGGGCTCATAATGAGAGCTTTTGAATCCGCAGCCCTGCATCCTTTTGTCTCGCAAGTGGCAGATCTGCTAGCCCCCTGCTAGCATTGCTTAATCACCCCACCGCTTGCTTTGTAGCCAGCTGGCGCTGAGGATCACAGCTCCCCCCACGATTTACTCGCTCATTGTAAGGGGCTTGTCACACACACACCCCGCCCTGTCCCCACACTTCAATATTTCTGAGGCGGGAAATCTTTCTTTCCCTCTGCTGCTTCTGACACCTGCCGGCACCGAGCGGCCAGCCTTCTTTGATTTAGCCGGCCTTGGCTACGCCCTGCCACTTGAGAATTGCTTGGGCCAAGTTACAGCTACAGATCAACTTTTCAAGCTAAAGGACGAGGGGACGAGCCACAGCCCAGTGGCAGAACACCTGCCTGGCATGCAGAAGGCCTCGGGGACCAGGTTGAACCCTCCGCATTTCCAGGTCTGCCTGGGAGAGAGTCTGGTCTGAAACGTCAGAGAGCTGCTACCAGTCCATATGGATGAGACCGAGCTGGACAGAGCAATGGCTTGACTAAGCAGAACACAGTTTCCTATGTTCCTGTGTCTAAAGAGAAGGGTTGAAAGGACCTGTTGATGGCATTTTACCATTGCACTGTGGAGAGTGTATTATGGTCTGTGTGTGTGGTTTGGGAGCTGCACGGTCAGGCGAAAAACAATGCTGTCCAGGGTTGTAAAGACTGCGGAGAGAATAATTGGGTGCACTCTTCCCACCTTGGATCAATTCTATTCTTCCAGGTGCCATAAGAAAGCGGCAGAGATAGCGCAGGATAGTGCGCTACCCGGAAATGATCTCTTTCAGCTTCTGCCTTCTGGAAGAAGGTACAGGGTTATAAAGACTAGGACTAGCCGCCTGAACACTTCCAAGTTTTCGGCATTTGAGAACCAAGGTGTTTGAGAACCAAGGTACCACTCTATATGACTTCATGTTAAAAGACAACTAACTTCCTGTGTTCCTATCCCTACTGAGCGATGTATAGCATTTCCTGAAACCGGACCCTGAACAGCAGCCTATAAACATGTCAAACAAATCTATCTTCCTAATTTGCCATAGCACACGACTTGGAATCGCAGAACTGTGGAGTGGAAGGGACCCCAGAGGTCATCCAGCCTGACCCCTGGAAGTGCCTAAAGCTTTGCCACGAAAGGCAGTGTGGTTCTTCCTTTCACACAAAAGTTGATCTTATGCAAGAGGACAGAACTGCTTGGACTGAGAGATGGAAGGGAAGGAGAGAAGAGCATAATGTCCCCAGCCATGTTACCTTTTGGAAGACGTAGCCTCCGTCGGGACCCCAGCCCACAATCGGGTCGGTGGAGGGCTTGCCGTTGATGTTCGGCTGGGAATTGATGGTCAGGATCCCTCTCCTGTTCACCTTGGCCAGCTCTTCTTTCATAAGGTTGGTCTCGGGCGCCAGAGGTTCATCGTTCCAAGGCAGGCAGGTCACCTATGGGGGGGGGGGAGAGAGAGAGAAACTATCAATATTTTGGAAAGGGGAGAGGGCAGGTTGGGTGTGCACACAAATGCACAGCTTTCTCCCATGTTTCCAAATCCCCTTAAATTTTAAAATTCCTTCCCCCTGTTATACCTCAAGCAGACACACACATGTGTTAACCACAACAATAATTTATTTGTACAGTGATACCTCAGGTTAAGTACTTAATTCGTTCCTGGAGGTCCGTTCTTAACCTGAAACTGTTCTTAACCTGAGGTACCACCTTAGCTAATGGGGACTCCCGCTGCCTCCGTGCGATTTCTGTTCTCATCCTGAAGCAAAGTTCTTAACCTGAGGTACTATTTCTGGGTTAGCGGAGTCTGTAACCTGAAGTGTCCATAACCTGAAGCGTCTGTAACCCGAGGTACCACTGTACTCTGCCCATCTGACTGTGTTGCCCCAGCCACTCTGAGCAGCTTCCAACATATATTAAAAGCATTATTATTATTTATTGACTTTATATACCGCCCTATACCCAGGGGTCTCAGGGCGATTCACAGAAAAAAATCAAGATATAAAACCACAAAATCAAAAATAAAAACAACCACCCAATAGTCCTCCCCTCCAAAAAACAAAAACCCCACACCTTTTAAAAGGGCATAGGATGTAAATCAAATCAACCAAAGGCTTGGTTTAAAAGGAACTTTTTTGCCTGGCACCTAAAGGTGTGTAATGAAGGCGCCAGGCAAACTTCCCTGGGGAGAGCATTCCATAGACGGGGAGCCACTGCAGAGAAGGCCCTGTTCTCGTGTTGCCACCCTCTGGACCTCTCGAGGAGGAGGCACACAAAGGACAAAATAAAACATTAAAAAGCTTCTCCATACGGGGCTGCCTTCAGGTGTCTAGTTACTCATCTCCTTGACATTTTCAAAGTTCCTTCAAGCACCTTTTACTGTGGGGCTGCAGTTCAGCAGTAGAGAAGGGCCTGCTCAGCATCCATAAGGGCCCTGGGTTCAATTCCTGGCATCTCCAGGTAGGGCTGGGACTAGGAGAGCCATTGCTGCCAGTCAGTGTAGGCAATACTGAGCTAGATGGGACCAAAGTTCAGACTTGGTATAAAGCAGTTGGTTCCTACAATTCACAGCCGAGGAGCAGAAAGCAATGCCTGAAACAAGACCATCCAAGTGTCCCTATTTTCCAGGGGCATTTATGGATCTACAGAAGCCGCCCTGGTTTCTGATTTGATTCCAGAATGTCCCCCTTTTAGAGAGTCCCTATTTTCATCAGAAGAAGGCTGATGACTGAAGAACTGATGCTTTTGAATTATGGTGCTGGAGGAGACTCTTGAGAGTCCCATGGACTGCAAGAAGCTCAAACGCATCCATTCTGAAGGAAATCAGCCGTGAGTGCTCACTGGAAGGACAGATCCTGAAGCTGAGACTCCAAGACTTTGGCCACCTCATGAGAAGAGAAGACTTCCTGGAAAAGACCGCTGATGTTGGGAAAGATGGAGGGCACAAGGAGAAGGGGATGACAGAGGACAAGATGGTTGGGACAGTGTTCTCAAAGCTACCAGCATGAGTTTGACCAAACTGCAGGAGGCAGTGGAGGACAGGAGTGCCTGGCGTGCTCTGGTCCATGGGGTCACGAAGAGTCAGACACGACTAAACAACAAAATTTTCATCAGAGAAATGTTGGAGGGTATGGAGTTATGCGACCCTCTCCCCCAAGCCAAGGAGATAAGTAACTACGCGACCTTTGGAAGACATCCGAAGGCAGCCCTGTAGAGGGAAGTTTTTAAAATATTTTATCAGTTCAAGTTTAAAACTGATGGAATATGCGCAGCTTGCGGACCTAACGTATAGAATAAGAGAACAAGAAAAACACACATTTAAAGAAGATTGGAAAATGTTTATTGAATATATGGGGGCGGTGGGATTGTGTACACTTGAAAACGTTGACAGCATTAAAATAAATTCAACAGTGTAAATAAGTTTTGAGGGATGTAATACAGTGGTACCTCAGGTTACAGACGCTTCAGGTTACATACACTTCAGGTTACAGACTCCGCTAACCCAGAAATAGTACCTCGGGTTAAGAACTTTGCTTCAGGATGAGAACAGAAATTGTGCAGCAGTGGCGCGGCAGCAGCAGGAGGCCCCATTAGCTAAATTGGTGCTTCAGGTTGAGAACAGTTTCAGGTTAAGAACGGACCTCCAGAACAAATTAAGTACTTAACCCGAGGTACCACTGTTAAGCCATGGTTTTCCCAGTAGTGATGTATGGAAGTGAGAGCTGGACCATAAAGAAGGCTGATCGCCGAAGAATTGATGCTTTTGAATTATGGTGCTGGAGGAGACTCTTGAGAGTCCCATGGACTGCAAGAAGATCAAACGCATCCATTCTTAAGGAAATCAGCCCTGAGTGCTCACTGGAAGGACAGATCCTGAAGCTGAGGCTCCAGTACTTTGGCCACCTCATGAGAAGAGAAGACTCCCTGGAGAAGACCAATGCTGGGAAAGATGGAGGGCACAAGGAGAAGGGGCGACAGAGGATGGTTGGATAGTGTTTTCGAGGTTACCAGCATGAGTTTGACCAAACTGCGGGAGGTAGTGGAGGACAGAGGTGCCTGGCGTGCTCTGGTCCATGGGGTCACGAAGAGTCGGACACGACTAAACGACTAAACAACAACAAACCACTGTAATGGAATACTGAATGGTATAGTTTATGTAAAATATGTAGGGATTTATGTTGTGCAAAATGAACCATGGAAAGGGAAGAAGGAAAGCCATTGATATTTTAAGGTTGTTTGAATGAATATTCTAAATTGTAAAGCGGAAAATTTAATAAAATTTACGTGTGTGTGTGTGTGTGTTTTATTATGTTTTTATTGATGTTGAAAGACACCCAGAATGGCTGAGGCAATCCAGTCAGATGGGTCTGGTATAACAATAACAACAACGGAATAGGACGCCCCCATTTTCACTGGAGAAATATTGGAGGGTATGTGAGACTTGTGTCAGGACTCCAGAGACCGGACGCCCACACTTGTTCACCCCCTATTGTGGAGGTTCATGGGCCAGGGCCCTCCCTGAATCTCTCACCTTGTGCCCCTCCTTGTTGGGCTCTCCGGCGATGTAACACCTGAACACCTCGAAGACGCTTTCCTCGCTGGTCAGCTCCTCGCCCCACATCTTCAGCAGCTCGTCCCTGGGAGATTTGCTCTTCAGGTAGAAGAGGTAATAATCCTTCAGCTCCCCAAAGGCAGGGGAGGATGAGTTACCCTGAGGGTTGCGGGAGAGAAGGCATGTTAGGGCAGGGCAGGAACAAGCCCCTTACAGGCAAGATGGCCTCCCCCACATTCACCCATTTGACTGCTCCCATCAGCAGAACTGTTGCAGGGACCACAGAATCCCTGTTCTAAATTTATAAGAAGTCCATCTTTTCGTGTGGCAATACCCAAACTCTGGAACTTCCTGCCTATGGACATCAGGCAGCTGCCTTCACTGTACTCTGTGCTAGAAACATTCGTGAAGCCCACCCAGAGGTTTAGAAAACTGATGCATATTTCCATCTGTTTTTAGCTAGTTGTGAACTTGAGCTCTTGAAAGTATTACATTATCGCTGTTCTTACCGATAAATTTTATCGTTTTGTCCTTTTCGCAAACCGCTTCGAGGCTCATTTGATTTTTTGATTTTTTACAGTCAAGTGGTATATCCATTTCATGAAATAATGAATCGAACAAGGGAATGTGTAGTAAAGTTAGTACTTTCTTAGCAGCTTTTCTTTGGTCAAGTGGGAAAATGAGGCCTTGTGGGAAACCAGTAAGAATTATGGGAACCGTCCTGTTGCTTTAACCCGTGAGCCTGTTGGCTCCAAGGGCGTGAGAGGATGACTATGGGAAAGGAAATTTCGGGCTAAATTGAAGGTTTACACCTGCGTTCAAAGTTATGAACATACCCTCTGTAATGTTATCTATCCTTAATTACTTGGGAATGTACATCTGCCTAAGCTCCACCAGTCTCCATCGGAAGGGAGGAAACACCTTGATCTGGGTTCTGAAGGCTTAATTGGCTCAGCTGCCACAAGTTAGAATTATTAGCCCACAAGCTGGTCATTGGAGGATTCAAAAATAATCCAGGGTTCTGACTGTGTTTGGGGGTTTCTGATTCCACGTGCGAATTATGGAAAAAGATCTTGAGAATGGTTTGAAAGGCGCGCTCTGCAATTCGCAAAGAATCGCCCGGCTGCTGATGTCCACCAAAGCAGCCGTCTTTTCGTCCTTTTGTGCTTTTGCGTTGAAGATTTTCTGAGACCTTTGGATGCGGATTTCTGAAAGACTCTAACTATCCTATCTTTGCCTTAGAGTATAGAAGAGAGTATATAGTCAGCTATCATTTACAACGTTCTTATTTTTCTGTACTTGTAATTTACCAAAAGATGTGCCTGCTTTTTAGCATGTTCTTTACGTTTTAAAATAAATTTTTAAGAAAGAAACTTTCTCTTGTATTGTGTGTGCCTATCCGGGGGAATAGCTAATTCCAACGCCTAGACTTCTTGGTTACGCTCTACCAAAGGATTCCTGCCTGCAAGCTTGTGGAAGCAACTTGTAGTTTGGGGTTAGCCAGGAACAAAGGAGCACAGCTGACTCCCTTGAGCTGTGGCTTCTGGTAACCCTGGGTCGAGGGAGTGGTGGCAGCTCTACCAGTTCTATTTTGTCCTGTTTCTGAAAAGTAAATGGGTTTGCCAGCCTTGCTCAAGAAACCTGATCTGGCCGGAGAGCAAAGACAGGTGAGGGAGGGGCAAGTGGCTGGGCGCCCATTTACTACAGAACGAAACAAGGAAATCTGCCCAGAAAGTATAGGGTCTTTTCTGGACTTGGGAGGAGACAATCCTATGGGTTTCAGTCAACTAGGTTTTACTTAGGGTAGCCCCGCTGAAATTAACAGGCCCAAGAGATAAGTCATTCCATTAACCTATCAGTAGAGGGAAATTCCCCAGGTGTCAAAAAAGACTATTTATGTAGGCTACTACTGCAGCCCATGTCTTGTTAGCCCCAAAAATGGAAAACAAACGAGGTCCCAACCAAAGAAGAATGGCAACTTAAACTGATGAAATATGCGCAACTTGCAGATTTAACATCTAGAATAAGAGAACAAGAAGAACATACATTTAGAGAAGACTGGAAAACGTTTACTGAATATATGGGTGAAAATTGTGTTCATTTAAAAATGCTGACAGCATTAAGATAAATTCAGCAGGGTAAATAAGTTTTGATGGATGTAACAATGGTTTCCTGAATGGTTTAGTTCATGTAAAATACGCAGGGCGTATGGTATGCAAAATGAACCACGGAAAGAGAAGAAGGGATGTCACGGATTTAAGGTTGTTTAAAAGAATATTTTGAAATGTAAAATTTAATAAAAATTATATATAACTACCTCAACTGGTCTATAACCGTTGCATCTTTCTGGCATCTTCTGTTTTAATTCAGATAGGCCTCCCATCGCTTCCCAGTTCAACCAGATCTTTCCAGAGGGATACATCCACCTCCCCCCCCCGCCACACTCACCAGCGGCCATTAGGAAACTCATCCCATTCCTGAGTTCGGTAGATGTAACTCTTCGGCCTGGAGGCCCAGAAAATGGGTCGGACATCTTCAACTCGCCGTTTGGGGTGAGCACTGACCGCCCAGGGCAGGGAACGCCTTGCAGGGGAGGGAGAGAAAATTAAAACATAAATTTGCACCTATACTTGCGTGCTGCATCTTTTTAAACACTTCCTGGTAGCTTACACGTGTTTTGCTCCCCCTGAATTAAAAACTGAAGGGATGGCTCATTTTTATACCCAGCAAGTGAGTCAGTGTGGTTGTAGTGGTTGGATTGGGATTTGGTAGGCCAAGTTTCAAATCCCCACTTGAACCCAGAAGTTCATAGGGGGACCTTGGGCTGGTCACTGTCTCTCAGCCTAGTCTACCTCCCAAGATTGTTGTGGGGATTAAATGTGGGGGGGGGAATATATATACAGTGGGATATATATACAGAAGTGAATAAATGAGGTTTACTTTTGCAGCATGTAAGTAAGGAAGAATTAATTGCACCCTGATGTATGACTGTTGCTGTTTTTTAAATCATTTTTATTAATTTCCCAATAAAAACAGCCAATCAACATATCCGCATCATAATCTGATTAAAAACAATAAACTAAAATAAAAAAACGGCCAAATTGTAGTCTAAATTGTAATTATTCATTTTTCTGGGCTCCCCATAGTCTGGACCTCTAAAGCATATCTCCAAATCTTCGTTCCTGCCTCTTCTCGTTGTTTTCATGTTTTCCGCCTTCTGATCTTAACACTTTAAAGTTCTCCATCTCTGGTGATGTATGACTGTTTTGAGCATGCCTCATAACTGGGAGAAGCTAAGCTCTGGGGAGAACAGTGGCAAGCACAGAGACAGAAGAATTATCCTCCCATCTGAAGAGATTGCCTGTTCTGTCTTTGTGTTGGGAGAGACTGAACGCTCCAGAGAATTACACCTTCCTAGCACAGGCTGACTGGAGGAGGCCAGTGGAGTCTGCTGGTCAAAGCAATCTCTCGCTGAGACAACTTGTATGCCTGGCCCCACTTGCAGGAGAGCTGTCCGTGGTCCTTAACCCAAACCTTAGTCTGCTCTCCAAGGTGCTGTTGCCTGTCCAACCAGGAATTTCTAGCCTACCCTTGCTTGGGCCACCAAGCAACTGGTGGTAGAGAATCACCCTCTGTTCCTCTTCTGCCAGTCTGCTGGCTAGAAGGCCAATTTTTAAAAAAGATATTTCTAGCCTTCACATCCATGAAGGCTGCAGAGGATGGAGTTTCCCTTACCCGGCAGCCAGCATGGAAACAATTCCCACAAGCTCGTAAAGAATGTGGCAAGATGGATTCCTTTGGGTTCAACGAGGGAAAAGAATATAAACAGATTCTAGCAAGGATGGGCAATGTTTAAAGAATTCTGGACGGTCAGACGGGGGGGGGGGCTTAGATATAATCCTTTTGAAATTCTGTTGAGAGCATATGAATATTGTTCTTAAAGATCATAAATATATAAATAAAAAGGGTCCACCCACTAAATAGCTCAGTTGGGTAGATTGTGGTGCTGATAATGCTAAGGTTGCAAGTTTGATCCCCATATGGGACAGCTGAATATTTCTGCATTGCAGGGGTTTGGATGCGGCCCAATCGCCTTCTAAATCCGGGCCGCAGATGCTCCGGGACTCAGCGTGTTTTTACATCAGTAGAATGTGTGCTTTTATTTAAAATGCATCTCTGGGTTATTTGTGGGGCATAGGAATTTGTTCATTTCCCCTCCAGAAAATATAGTCTGGCCCCCCACAAGGTCTGAGGGACGGTAGACCGGCCCACGGCTGAAAAGGTTTGCTGACCCCTGGACTAGATGATGCTCAGGGTCTCTTCAAACTGTACAATTCTGATTCCACTTGATACCTTCCCTTATCACTTTGCTGGCTTCTTTCCTCGCCCCTCCCCTTTCCTCCCTCCCTCCCTCCCTCCCTCCCTCCCTCCCTCTCCTTCACTTTTTTATTTCCCGTTTGCACATACTCTATTTCGGATTGTGACAACAATTGTTCGTTAAACCTCCGTCATAACTTGATGCATCTTTGCAAAACTGTGCAATTATTGACCGGAATCTTGTTTGTTTCCATTCCTGCACTTGCATTGTTTACAGCAACACAAAAAAAAGTTGGTTTTCCTTTTTTTAAAAAAAGAGATGTTGCAAGCTACCGTATTTTTTGCTCTATAAGACGCACCTTTTCCTTCCTAAAAAGTAAGGGGAAATGTGTGTTCGTCTTATGGAGCGAATGCAGGCTGCGCAGCTATCCCAGAAGCCAGAACAGCGAGAGGGATCATTGCGCAGTGCTCCCTCTCTCTGTTTTAGCTTCTGGCTTAGTCACGCTCTGTCCCTTCCACCACCTCCTGGAAAAGCCCTCAAGAGCCGCGCTCCCTTTAAAGAGCCGCGTGGAGCGTGTGTGCGGCTCTTGGGGGCTTTTCCCAGAGGAGGGAGAAGGGCAACACGTCTCCCTCCTCGGGGAAAAGCCTGCAAGCGCTGCACACACGCTCTGTGGGGTTTTGCTGCTGAGCCATCTGAGTCAGTTTCAGATTCACAACTTTCATCAGTGGGTGTGGGGTTTTGCTGCTGTTTATCCTCAGTCTCTTCACACGCTCCACGCGGCTTGTGAAAGGGAGGTTTTCCCACCCACCCACCCTTTAAGGTTCCCCTTCTGACCTCGCTA